TATATCTCTCTGCGTGTATGCGTGTGCACGCGCGCGCGTACTGCTTCTGCTATGCATTCCTTACACGAGCGCGCGCGCGTGTGCGTGTGCGTGTGTGTGTGTGTGTGTGTGTGTGGTGGTGGTGTGTGTGCGCGCGTGTGTATATTTGCAGGAGAGATTCACACTTTTCTTTATTATATGTATACCTTTTCTTTCCTATGTCGTTTTCCATCTATATAATCATGCACGAATAATTGAATTTTCCTTTAAATATATGCATTTTTTATACGTAATATATTTGTTTTATTATCGTTGAGTACTTGGATAATTTTTCGTCGTACAACCTACGTGTCATTTTGTGTATAATTTATGTTTTTTCTTGTTCAATACATCAATTGGAGTGTTTAGACGGTATGCTTTTTCAGATTGAAGATCGCCCCACCGTTTCGTCTAGTTTCGAACGAAGCAAATAGAATAAGAATATTTTTAATTCGATTATTGCGGCTTTCTTCTTGTTTAGGCCATTTCGTATAGTGTCTTACTCGACAGTATTCTGAGCATTTTGGGATTCCGAGAAGAGGAATCAACGAGGAATAAGGTACATAGTTCTCGGTGTATCAAAGAATCGAACAAAAATTTTCGTGAGTTTGACGTAGCGAGAGTGATCCGCAATCGTAGAAAAGCAAACCTCTTGCACACCGTGTTTAATATACATCAACCGTATTCCTATATTCGACTACAGATACCCGCTAATATCTATGTCTTAGACTCCTTTTATATTATACTTTGCGAAGTATATATATATACATATATATATGTATATATATATACATATTATGTTATGTTATGTTATGTTATGTTATGTTATGTTATGTTATGTTATGTTATGTTATGTTATATCATATTATATTATATTATATTATGTTATATTATATTATATTTTATTATATCATATCATATATCATACCATATTATACTTTATATCGTATCAGCACCATTCTACGTTGAATTTAGTACGTGGATGATAAACACAATAAAATCTTGAGATCGTTCCTAACACATTCTCGTCTAGAATCGTTCTAACAAGTACCAAACCGAACATAGAATCGCGCAATTATTCTTGTATAGTTGTATATTATGTATTATGTACGTACGTATGTGTGTCGTGTGCGTGCGCCTGTGCGTATGCGTATATATATGTATAACTCTTAGAATATATACGTACACGCATAGACAGAGGCGCGCGCAGACACGTTATACATATACACGGCACATACATGTATACATGTATGCATTATACGTAGGTATGTATATTTATTGATGTGGTAGACGTGTATAAAATATGCGTGTGTATATAGCGTCCGAGAAAAAGAATCTATGCACTAACGACACACGAATGTCTGACACACGTAACCGTCTGTCTTCTTTTCATAGTATTTTCGTGTTGTTTCTGTAACAACTTGCACTCAATAATCACAGCCACCTATCCAGATTCGTACGACCGATCATTCACGCATTCAAATACACGTTTCATATAGCACTCGCATTTCATATATGTATACCCGTACTCGGTACACGTACCTTTCCTTTCCTTACATTTTACCGTCGATTTATCTATTCTTTATAGAGAGAGTGTGTGTTCGTGTGTATTCGTGTGTGTTCGTGTGTGTGTTTTGGTGTGTAAGTATGTGTGTCCGCGTACGTATGCGTGTATAATATTGCTGAGATATATATATGTATATCCTCCGTGTATCATACATAGAAATAGGTGCCGAAACGAGCTGCTCTGATTTTCCCTTCCGTCCTCTTCTGGTTTCAACTATGAACGATGAACGCACGGCCCGCGTTACAATACAATAATCGTGTTGCAAAACGACCACAATGAGAAAAAGGGGTCACTCGCCTCTCGAATATGCGATCTAAAGTACACGCAGATACCTCCTTTCCATAATTGTCCAGTGCTAATCACGTTTATCCCATTGTGCCCGAGCGGGAGGAGATTACAGAGTTCTGGTGTGCCCCCTCCCTTCCTTCGATCACGGTTCAACTAATCATCCTTTCTCGGATTGAAAATCCTTTCTCTCGTCCAACAGCATACTTTCACACGCTTCGTTATCCGCTGGGTGGTGATGGGCTGCGGTGCCCGTAAATCAATAAATAAATAGAGGAACAACATTCTTCAAACACTTTTTTTCTTATAACAACATTAGAGGCTCTTGGAACGTAACGCAACAAATGTTCAACAATACAATCACGAAAACAAATAGAAGGCACTCTTGCATTTTTTCCTTATTTCGATAAATCAATTTGCTTATTTTTTTTTGTCTTTTTCGTAACGACTCGCAACGGGTAATCTACGCGTTCTAGGCCTTTATATCGTGGTGGTCTATGGTGTGTGTATCGATTCTCGTTAATATACTTTTGTTCTTCCCCTTCTTCTTGTTATCCTTCGACATCGGTAGACATCTTCCGTTCTCGTTCCGTCTCTCGCTCGAATATTTCTCTCTCTCTGTCTCTCGGGTCGACGCGTCGCGAGTTTCGAAGGATAACGCGAAACTCTCTCGCCGCAAACTACTCTTCTTCTTCTTCTTCTTCTCCTTCTCCTTCTCCTTCTTCTTCTTCTTCTTCTTCTTCTTCTTCTTCTTCTCCTTCTTCTTCTTCTTCTTCTTCTTCTTCTTCTTCTTGTCTACCTACTTATTTTTCCCTTCCTTCAATCGTCTTTTCTCTCCTCCTTTTAAATAGACAATAATAGCTACAATATGCGAGATATAAGATAACAAATTTCTCGTTATAGATAAAAGAAATTCACCATCATAACAATTAGGTAGAATATTATTTAACTTCTTTTATATTATAATAATTTAATTATTGTTATTTGCTTGGAAGCTCACAGCCGACACATTTTTTTTTGTTTAATTCATTAATAAATATATTTCTTCT